ACGCAGGCCTGGAGGGTAATTCTAGAGCTCACTGATGGAGACAGGACAGAAAAGCAAGGTGACATCTCATTCCGAGGAATTAGTGGATACAGTGTTGGAGAGTTTTTAGGGGGCCGCAGTAAGCCCCCGAAGGGCTGTACTTAGAGCCAGCACAGCCTGGAGGGACCTGACTCCAGAAGAGAGCTGGAGTATATATATATATCCGAGATTCTGCTGGTGATGGGTTTGGAGTCAATTTGTGGCTATGCTATTGTCTAAACCTTGCTTCAAAGTTATCTTGGTGTTCATAGGCAAAGAAAAAGAGAGGTAGTTAATACTTAATGTGTAATCAGTGTGGTGGCATTTTCATAGCACTCTGCTGAACTAAAACATAGGTGTCTCCCCGTCAGCTTCACGAGGACCTCTGAAGCAGTACTCTAGATGTTGGACCACCAAGATTGTGGCTACTCACACCCTCAAGGAGCCCCTGGCAAGCTCACTCGCCTGGAGAGGGTGTGCCACAAACCCAGCCTTTTATTGAAACACTATGATGCAACTGACTGAGACAGGATAGGGGGCCTCATTTAAGCCTACAGAAACTGATTAAAAATGAACTAACAGGAACACACAACAAGATGAAGGTGCACAGCTATACAAGGACTTATTTGTGTAGTCACTCCATGTCAAGGCCAAGGTTCAAGCTCTACTATTTGTCCAGATTGGACCACCTAGTCCCACTTCTAGCTAATGAGCTAGAAGTCTGTCATTTAGCTTCTGGTGTGAATGCACTGCGGAAAGATAAGTAAGTTTCTCAACTATTAAAAACCATCGTCCTGCCTAAAACTTTTACACAAATTGTTTATGTGCAGCTCTGACTCTCTTATTCAGCCTAGTGTGTAGATTTGGCCAAAAGCTTGGGAACTGAAATTAATAAACGAAAAAACAAAATGTTTATCATCAGGGAAATGAGAAAAGGGGTATAGGGAAATATTTATTTAGGTTGTTATGACAACAGAACAAGCCATCACAACAACATTCTTTCTTTCCCATCTGCTAAACTTTGGCTTGACAGAGCCTTAAGAAACACTCAATGTCCACCGTAAAGATGAAACAGAGCAATAATGTTATTCTAAATTTGATAGATTTTTGGCTCCACTTAAAACCCTTTTTTAACTCATACAATATTTGCCACAACTCCCAGCTATTTCCTCTTGCAGTGGGCAGACGCACTTCCAACAATGAGGAAATGAATTGTGTGTGGGGGAGGGTGCTGGTGGCAGTGACCACAGGCCTCTGACAGGCCAATGTTCACCCCGGGATGTCATGGGGTCACTCACTGAGTCTGCGGCGTGCCCTGTTCTCATGCCCTGCTCCATGGCCTTGAGAAGATGGGGGGCTACAGATGGGAACCTGGGGCAGCCTACTTCTACTGCCAGCTGAGCAGGGCTAGAAATTAAGGCATGCACAGCCCGTAGAGAGCGAGTGGTCCCCGCTAATGAGGATGAAAGCACTGGCTGAACTTAGGCTGAAGACTTTCTTCAGAGACTTCCAGGTCAGATGACTTGAAGCCAGCCACTGGTTTGTCATGGTCTAGCTGAAGAATGCTTCAATTCCCTAGAGCTACTTTCCCAAAAATCAGGAGTAGGTGGGGGCTGATTCCTCCCAGAGGAACCCCTTAGGTGGAGCAGGCAGGAGAGGAGAACATGGGCTCTGGCTTTATCACTCAGTAACTTCACATGCACCATGTTCTCTGGCGGTGTTTCTGGGCTCTGATCATTAGCTAGGTCCCTGTTTCACAGGTGAGCCAGACTTCCTGTGTGGGCTCTCTGTTAGGGGAGGGGGTAAATCTGAGCGTCAGAGAGACCCCCAAAGAGGAGGCTGCGCTGAGGCCCCCTCAGAAGAAAGCACTTAAAGCTGCAAGAGGAGGTACAGATGGTGCCCTGACTTCTGAGCAAACGCTAGCGCAGAGGCCTAGGAGTCGGAGAGTGGGTTCGTAACATGGGGTATATTTATTTATCTTCAACCCAGATAAGGTTAAGCGGGGTGTTAGAAGGGCACTCACAGTTAGTTACCTCAGCACCTGACCATCCTGAAGCACCTACATTTAGGAGCACTCTCAGGAAAATGCTATCCAGATGGTTTCTACTGAATCAGATCCCCTGGGAGAGGAGTGGGCCACGTGAGGGTGGAATTCCAGAGCATCTGAGCTGAAGGGGTCTCATGGGAATCACACAGCTGGACAGAGGAGGTGGTTGTCCCCTGGGACACTGGAAAGCACAGGATGCCTGAGACGGATGAGTCCTGGGTCAGGAATGGGGGCAGGGTACTTCAGCAGGTCCAAGACTGCTGGGTGGGCAGAGACCAAGGGGTGTGGCAGACTCCTGGGGCACCCCAGCCCACGGACTCAGAGAAGGTCATAGCTGGGAGAGACTCTGGAGATTCCCTCAGCCACCTGCATCATGGGGGTCCTCGCTGGAAGGGTGGGCGGGGGTGGGCCCTGGAGAGAAAAGCACAGATATCTGAGCTTCCTCAGGAGACAATTCTGGCTGGCCTGCCAAGCACAGAGCAGGTTGTGATGGCACGTTTTTAAAAAGACTGTCCCTATGTATCTGTGTAGACAGACAGCCTCACAGATACTCCTCCACCCCACCCAGACCACGGTGGCCTGCTTGCCCCCTCGTCTTCTCTGCAACCAGCTACCCCTGTCTGATCCCAGCTCTCCCACTGACCCCGTCCGTGACTTCACTTCCGGGTGCTTCTTAGTTAGTTAGTGAAGTCGCTCAGTGGTGTCTGACTCTTTGCGACCACATGGACTGTAGCCTACCAGGCTCCTCTGTCCATGGGATTTTCCAGGCAAGAGTTAGTCTCCTGCTAACAGAACCGAACTGATGGAGTTCTCGAGAGGCTGAGAGGATGGAGGAGCCTGGCCCAGGGCAGCTGGCTCCTGGGTTCCCTCAGGGCTCAGCTATTGCTGTTCGCATTAGGTTCACACACACTGTGCTTTCTGCTTCAGCGCTCTCAGGGCCTTTCTCTCTTTTCCAGCCTCTTCAGATCTGCACTTAACTAGTGTTGGCTGAAAAGCAAATTTGTTGAGTGAGAGAGAGAACACTTGAAGCCATTTGTAATGGGACAATCACGGGCTACTTCTGGGGACAATGAGACACCGGAGCCCTAGCAATTCAGAGCTCTGAGTGGCTGGGCATGGAGGAGCCCTTGTTTCCTAAATGAGGAGACCCAGGGCCAGCAGTTGAGGACGTTCAGGCCGCCCTGCTGGCTGGGAAGCCCCCTCCCATGGGATGGGACGTGCCAGCCTGAATGTCGTAAAGGGTCTGCAATGTAATTTCAGTATTTCATACACACATGCGTGCACATGCACACACTGGCTCCAGATCCAAAGAGGGCACCCAAGTTATCCACATCCCCACCCCCCCACCCGACAAAAATCCTACCTCCTCAGTGCCCCACGGCTGGCAGCTGCTGCAAAAGAAAACAGCCAGTGGGCAGTAACAGCCTTACGGCAAGAACAGCGTCCTACAGCCACGGCTGGCATTTTACCTTCTTGTGGGTGTTTGCTGAATCTCTCAGGGCAGAGTGCCAGGCACCCTGGGAGGCAGGGTGATGACAGAAACCCCAAAGTCCCTCCAATCAGACCACCGCAATGACTTGTCTCCTGCCAGGGCAGGAGGGGAGGGGGCTGGGAGGACTGAGCTATACCCGGCAGTGGGCAGGCCCCATACTCAGGGAGAGGTTCCTTTCATTGTCTCTCACGACAACAGCTCTGTGTGAGTCCCACCTGTCAACCCAGAAGTCTCTCTAGGGACACGGTGGAGTGGCCAAGTCCTTCCCCAGAGGTCTCTGTCCTAAGCCCTTCCTGGTGTCTTGGCACCTGAAGCCTCTGACATATGCCCACTGCTGCCCTTCAGGGATGCCTCTGTCTTTTTTTTTTTTTTAAAGCCTCTGTCTGTGATGTGGTTCCCTCCCTTTCTGTTCCCACCTTCTCTTTTCATTGTCCCTTTTTGAGAAAAATAGATGATATTATCCCTTCTCCTTCCCACCTGAAGAAAGCCTGGGTTAGAGCGGGGGGCCACAGGCCCTGGTTCCCTGCTCCTCTTGAGTCACGTCTATCTTCTCAGATATTTGGGCAGGCTGGATCTTTCCTGAGCCTGACATCTTTAAATCAGAAGCAAGCACCCCTCGGGACTGTTTGCCCCATCTTCACTCCCTAGAGGGCCTTCCACTCCTGACCTGGGTCTTTTGGAGATCCATCACTTTCCCCTCCTCCCAAGGAAAGCCTGAGAATCCGACAACTAAAAATACGGTGGAGAGTGGGGGATGGTGGGGCTTCCAGAGAATACAGAGAGTCACTAGAGCACTGGTGAAATCTGATCCTGGTCACGGAAGGGTTATTCCTCATCCTCAGCTTGCAGGCCCCCACCTTGAGAACTCTCTGGTCCGAATCCCCCAGTGCCCGGGGATCTTGGAGAGCTGCCCACAGCACCAGCTGCAGGCTAGAGGCAGGCCCTGCTGACAAGAGTGCTCAGAGAGTACAATAACTGTGACATTGAATGTGAATAGCTAACTCTCAGGCAGGCCGGGGGCAGCCTAGGAGGAGCCCAGTGGCTGCGGTCCAGCGACCGAGCGTGAGCAAGGTGACCAGATGGGCTGTGGTGGAGACAGGGCTGGATTCCATCTCCCACCACGCCTCTGGACGGACCCCACATTCACATGCTTTGTCCTTTGCACTCTTCCTTCCCTTTTCTTCTTCTTCCCTTTTGTTTCCTAGAATCGAGAGTCATTATTTCCTCCAATCCGATTTTTACATGTTTTTGGCACGACTTCTTTCCAGATGCACTCTCAGCTGGCCCCTCCCACTTGGCCGGCTCATCTCGAGCCAGGACCCACGGCTCAGCCCTCCCTGGAGCAGCAGCCACCACTCGCGCCTCTGCGCCTTCAGTTCCAAAGTGAGGAAGGCTCTGATTCAGTATTTTGAAATGATGAAAATGCCAAGAATTCTTTTTTTTTCTTTCTTTTTTAAAGTTCAGAATTAACCCCAACCCTTATCTGCATCTTCTTCAGGATCTTCTTTGATTTGTGACCTGGGCTTTCCCAATTCCCGAACGTGACCACTAGGATGTGGGTGCACCCTGCTGGGCTGCGGGTCTGTGCGCGTGGATTCTGCTGGCACGCCGCTGGCTCTGTCTGTGCCTCCCGCCTCGTCCTGCAGCCCTCCCGGGAGCCGGGCCCTGCCCGCCTCTGCCTGGCTCTCCCCTCCGTTCCACCGCACTGAGCTGCTCGCAGTTCCCGAAGGGACCCTTGGCCTCCCCTCTCCCTGCCATTGTACTGACAGCTCCTTTTGCCTGGAACATGCTTTCTACTTGCTCTTGGCCTTAAGATGCAGGGAACTCGTCCACGAATGAGGACGCTCTGCCTCGAGTCGGCCTTTACAGCACAGTACTGGGTGGTCTGTTTACTTCTCCATCCCCCCGCCGGACTGAGGCCTCTTGAAGCACAGCGCTGTGTCTTTTCCCCGTTTCCCCAGCACATGGTAGGGTGCCCAGCACCTAGCGGAATGAGTGGACAGCCAGCCAAGTACCAGATGAGCAGAGTGCAGAGGTACAGGCTCAGCCCACTTTACACAACTCGGGGGCCTCACAAGCCTCCAGCCTCAGCTGCCCGCTGACTCTCACTCCTTCTGCAGAGGAGCTGCCTCTGAACTCCAGGCCATCCCTTGCTACAGGTTCCACCCCGTGCGAGACTGACCGTCACGCAAACACTTTAGAGACAGTGCGAGACTGACCGTCGAAGTTGCCAAGGTTTGCTACCTGAGCTTGTCTGCGATGAAGATGACCCTCCTTTCCAGGAGCAGGGAGGCAAAAACGCAGAGCAGGTGTCGGATGCTGAGAGAGGAAAAGAGAGACTCGAAGTCCACGTGTTCCAGCCGGGAGTCCAGCGGACGGCACAGTTCAATCACCTGTCGGGGAACATGAGCGGCATGAGGGGGGCCCGCCTGGTCAGACACGCTTTTGAAATGATGAAAATGCCAAGAATCCTTTTTTTTTTCTTTCTTTTCTAAAGTTCAGAATTAACCCCAACCCTTATCTGCATCTTCTTCAGGATCTTCTTTGATTTGTGACCTGGGCTTTCCCAATTCCCGAACGTGACCACTAGGATGTGGGTGCACCCTGCTGGGCTGCGGGTCTGTGCGCGTGGATTCTGCTGGCACGCCGCTGGCTCTGTCTGTGCCTCCCGCCTCGTCCTGCAGCCCTCCCGGGAGCCGGGCCCTGCCCGCCTCTGCCTGGCTCTCCCCTCCGTTCCACCGCACTGAGCTGCTCGCAGTTCCCGAAGGGACCCTTGGCCTCCCCTCTCCCTGCCGTTGTACTGACAGCTCCTTTTGCCTGGAACATGCTTTCTACTTGCTCTTGGCCTTAAGATGCAGGGAACTCGTCCACGAATGAGGACGCTCTGCCTTGAGTCGGCCTTTACAGCACAGTACTGGGTGGTCTGTTTGCTTCTCCATCCCCCCGCCGGACTGAGGCCTCTTGAAGCACAGTGCTGTGTCTTTTCCCCGTTTCCCCAGCACATGGTAGGGTGCCCAGCACCTAGTGGAATGAGTGGACAGCCGGCCAAGTACCAGATGAGCAGAGTGCAGAGGTACAGGTTCAGCCCACTTTACACAACTCGGGGGCCTCACAAGCCTCCAGCCTCAGCTGCCCGCTGACTCTCACTCCTTCTGCAGAGGAGCTGCCTCTGAACTCCAGGCCATCCCTTGCTACAGGTTCCACCCCGTGCGAGACTGACCGTCACGCAAACACTTTAGAGACAGTGCGAGACTGACCGTCGAAGTTGCCAAGGTTTGCTACCTGAGTTTGTCTGCGATGAAGATGACCCTCCTTTCCAGGAGCAGGGAGGCAAAAACGCAGAGCAGGTGTCGGATGCTGAGAGAGGAAAAGAGAGACTCGAAGTCCACGTGTTCCAGCCGGGAGTCCAGCGGACGGCACAGTTCAATCACCTGTCGGGGAACATGAGCGGCATGAGGGGGGCCCGCCTGGTCAGACACGCGTCTCATGCACCGGGCAGGCCTGGGGCTCTGTGGTCCTCAGCAGAGAGGCCCACTGCCAGGGAGGAGGGAGACGAAAACAGGAAAACCAAAGGGGCTGGGGAAAGAAAGATGGCAGGAGACTGGGAAAGGAGGTATGTTTGGTAGGGACTCAGTCTCACTGCTGCATGTGAGGGTAGTTTGTGTGGAGGTGGGGAGACAGGACACAGAACCAGAGCCCCTCGGGCCATGATGGCTGGAGCCCGCCCGCTCCCACCCCATCGATGACACATGTGAGCCCCCACAGGGAGTTTTGAGGGCTGGTCCCTTGCAGTCCCACAGCAGAGCGTCTGATCTCACAAGGGACTCATAGGCTCACAAAGAAGGACCAGCAGCTCCAAGCACTTCTTTCAAGGCTCCCCTCCTCTACAAGGCGATTCTTAACGAACTCGACCCCGTTCCAACCCCTCCCCAGGGATGGCTTGTTCAGCTTGTATGCTTACTGTGCATATATCTCCTCCCTCTGGACTTGTTGGCATGTTCCTGAGTTCATCTCAAGTCACTACTCACATGTATGCTCTTCGTGGCGAGCAGAACCTGGCTTCTGCTCTCAGCATGGCACCGGCCTGGTGCTGCCTGGACAGCGGGGCTCACTAAGGTTAACTTCCCCATGCCCAAGTGACCTGCATCCATATGGGGTGGTTTAGGATTCTCCAGCAGCAGAGAGACCGCTGCTCTCTGTGCTGGGAAGTTGAGCGGTTCCAGAATATCCCAGACACATCCTTGTCCTCCCCTGTCCCCAGAGGTGACCCGCTTTTCCGAGGGCCTTTAGTACTGGAGACTCAAGGCTAAACGGGTCACATACAAGGACGGGAAGATGAAAACAAGCTCTGGTATCAAATCCCACCCAGCCAAGGAAAGGGACATACTTCAAAGTCTGGGATGGATAAAAAGTAGCACCTGAGCTTGTCTTCCCTGAAAAGAATCTGCTTTGCATATTAAGTGGTAGCGGTGATATAGATCAAAACCCTAAAAAGGTTCAAATACGATTTATGAAGGTGCTGGGCTATTAAGAGAAGCTAAAGATGTTCACTGCCCTGGCACAGTTCTCTCATCCAGCAACCAATGGATGGACTGGACTTAGGGTGGAATTTATGACTCTCTCACAAATGGATGATCTGGGCCAGCTTAAGGAGCAAGAGGCCACCACTGAATCTGACAGCCCACTGAAGCCAGCCTGTGGGATCACTGGGACCCAATCACTGTCAGGGCTACGCCCCTGGGACAGGAGAGGACTCTGACGGCGTACCTCAGTTCCTGATCCGGGCAAGAAGTTCTTGACCACAATGGTTTTGCCCAGGGCTGGGAAGGGGGCTTCCATAACGCTCCTCATGAGAGGCTGGACCAGGGCAGGAGAGATGCCTCGTCGTTTTTCCACCTCATCCAAGATCTGCAAGGGACAGAAAAGCAGCTCAGCTACCCTGAAGTCAGGCTACGAGGTGGAGCTGTCTTCCAGATGAAGAGGGCCTGCCACCGAGGCTGAGGAACCGTGGGGAAGCCTGGGGGTCCTCGTCAGGCCAAACCTACAGTCTCTTTCACCTTGTGCATTAAGACCAAGATTCACCCTCTCTGCAGCCACTCTTTTTCCATGTGAGTCTGCAATTTCTCCCACTTAAAGGGTGAAGTCTAGTTCCTGGCCCCCTTGACTTTGAAAACTGTCCTGTTTGTCAGTTTGCATACCCCTGTGACATTGACTATAATATACGTTCTCCATGGGAAGAATAGCACCCCCACAGGAGGTAAACATTGGTTTGGGGTTGGTGAAAAAACTTAGGTATCATGAGGGTTTGTGCCCTTCTCAGGGGCCAAAGTGGGCGAAGGCAATGGCAACCCACTCCAGTACTCTTGCCTGGAAAATCCCATGGATGGAGGAGCCTGGTGGGCTACAGTCCATGGGGTCTCGAAGAGTCGGACACGACTGAGGGACTTCACTTTCACTTTTCACTTTCATGTGGAGAAGGAAATGGCAACCCACTCCAGTGTTCTTGCCTGGAGAATCCCAGGGATGGGGGAGCCTGGTGTGCTGCTGTCTATGGGGTCACATAGAGTCAGACACAACTGAAGCGACTTAGCAGCAGCAGCAGCGGCAAGGGGCCAAAGTACATAAACAGGTATGTGATATATCTATGGAACTGAATTTCCTCTGTGGGGAAGCTATTAGGACAACACAAACCAAAACCAATGAGATACCACTTGACAGCCATTAGGATGACTGTAATAAAAAAACAGGTAACAGGTGTTGGTGAGGAAGTGGAGAGATTGGAACCCTCATACACTGCAGATGGAAATGTAAACTAGTGAAGCTTTTCTTTTGAAAATAGTCTGGAGGCTCCTCAAAAAATTAAACATATACGACCCAGCAGATCCGCTCCTAGGTATTTAACCAATGGAAATGAAAACATGTTCACACAAAAACTTGAACATGAATGCTCAAGGCAGCATTATTCATAGTAGCCAAAAAAGGAAATAGCCTAAACACACATTAACTTATGAATAATAAGCAAAATGTGTTACCTATATAATGGAATATTATTCAATATGATGGAATAAAATACTGATACATGGTACATCATGGATGAATTTTGAAAACGCTGCTAAGTGAAATAAGCTAGACACAAAAGGGACAAATATTATATGATTCCACTTACATGAGATCTTCGAGTCAAACTCATAAAAGAGACAGAAAGTAGAGTAGAGTGGTAGTTGCCAGGGGCTGGGGAGGAGAGGACAGAAGGTTAGTGTTTAATGGGCACTGAATTTTAGTCTGGGGAGAAATGAAAGAGTTCTGGAGATGGATGGTGGAGATGGTGGTACAACAAAGTGAATAAACATAATGCCAATCAATTGTACACCTAAAAATGACTGAAATGGTTAAGTTAATGTTATGTATATTTTAGTACAGTAAAAAGAAAATATGACAAAAAGTTAAAAATAATTTCATGGGGAGGAGAGGCAATTGAGGGAAAAAAGGCTGCTCACTAGAACAATAATGAAAAAAAGCTGAGGACCACTGGGCAGGCAGGATGAGGCGGAAGTGACCGTGTGCCAGCGCTAAGCCCAGAGCGTGGGAGGCAAGCAGAAACTTGCCTTACGTGTTTCTGCTTGCCTCCCTCTGCATGCGTAGGACGGCTTCCTGTCTCGGGGGTGACAGACCTGCATCCACACTTGTAGCTGAAGCACAGCCCAGCCAGCCTGGATCAGCCAACCCCCAGCCTACTGGCAGCACCGCAGTGAGTGAGCCACGGAGTCCAGCAGAGCAGAACCCAGAGCCCTGCCCCTCTGTGGGAGTCAATGGTAGCGGCTTTAAGCCACTGTGGTTTGTGACACAGCATCATTCCAACAATACTTATGCTTTCTTCAGAGACTGAGAGCTGTTCTTGTCCATTATCCCTTTGTCTATACTAAAGGACAATTTGCCATCACGGTCCTTGTCCCTCACCTAGAAATAGCCTGAGGTCTTGCAATCAGTTAGCCAAAGCTCTGTCTAGGGTTCTATGCTGAATATTTGCTGTGTGGTCATTGGCAAGTATTCATACTATATTCTTAAAAAATTCACAGTCACAAAACTGACATGAAAATGCAGGATTGTGCATCACACGAGTATGTTAGGATATTCGCTTGCTCTGCCCATGATATAGCAATGTAGCTTATGTGAACTTAAGAAAGCTCGGACTCAAATACATGCTTAAGGACTTAAAATACATGTATAGATTATATATTTATGTCTCTTTAACAGAAGAAACAAATGTTGAGTTATACCTAACTTTTGAGATTGGCATCAGACAGCATAGTAATTATCTTCCTACACACCAATCCAGAATACTGGGGTGGCTGAGCCAATTCACCATGGCAAACCCTACATCCTGATATATTGCTTCATCTTCCAAAAAGGAGGG